GTGTGTGTGTGTGTGTGTGTGTGTGTGTGTGTGTGTGTGTGTGTGTGTGTGTGTGTGTGTGTGTGTGTGTGTGTGTGTGTGTGTGTGTTGGTGGGTGTGTGTGTCTGTGTATGGGTGGTTGTGGTGGTTGAGCGGTTTATTCCCAGTTGGTCTACACCCATTTCGCCTACTCCCAGTTCGTCTACATTAAAAATCCACACCATTCCTATTTTGTCTACCATCAGTTTGTCCACTAAATAATCATTTATAAATGTAATATATGGATTTTATTAGCATACATAGACTAGACGGAGTGGCATCCACACTAATTTCTCCTGGTATTTGTTGTAATATCAATACTACGACGAAAAGACACTATTACCCATTCTGCGAGTAGACGAAATGGGAGTAGGCGAAATGGGAATATTGCCCATTCTGAGAGTAGACGAAATGGGAGTAGGCGAAATGGGAATATTGCCCATTCTAAGCGTAGATGAAATGGGAGTAGGCCAACTGGGATGTTAACGGTGGAGCTACTGGTATATATATTGTCATCTCTGTCTAGTCTCACTACAAGTTTACAGTAGTCCTAGTGTGCATTATGGCAGGTGACGTGCATGCGTGTGTCCCCGTGCGTACGTGCGCGCGTACGGGCGCGAGCAGTTCCGTGAAAGAGAGCGGCCGATTTCTTTCCAAGACGGAAAACGCGAACGTGACAATATCGAGCAGCGCTATTTAACCTGCCCTGACGACACCGCGGCCATCGCCGCTAGCAAGACCGAAAAAGTGGTTTACGCGCGCGTGCACAACTAAACTATAACCGTCTCGTAACTATGGGGGATACTTATATATATCAGAAATAGATAATAGGTAATAGATATAAGAAATATATAGGAATATAGATATAATAGATAATAGGGATAATAGTTTCCTATTATCTACTTCTGATATATATATATGTATATACACATATACGGAGAAATAGTGATATATATATATTCACATCGCTCATGGAACGACACTCGCTCATTCTCCTACTGATTTTGTTTAGAAGTAAGCCGTGGTATACTAGTTGGAGATGTCATTAGGGGTCACGTGCGTAACTATAGTGACGCCTATTGCAAGTTAGTTGCAGGGCAGACTCCTAATACTATGTCATGTCGATTATATATAATATCTCTTCTGAGCGTCTCCGCACATCGAAACAGTCGTATTGTGTTTACTACGAGTTTTGAATTAGACAAGCCAGTGACAGTGCGTGCCTATAAGTCATGACCTTATATTCGAAACACAGGTTCTACGCGTGTTTTTGCGTTAAGCGGAGTTTAGTTCCCATTAACTTTGCGTGGCGACGGCAGCGATTAACAGTCGATCACTGTACGTTGCTCAGCTGTTTAACTACCAACCGCCCTTGCGCGCTTAAATTGACTACGTCACGAATTTTCTATGGTAAAATTTGTAACATTTTTTTACATTTTGAGTAAGAACTAACGGGACTAAACGTATCGTCAAATTCTTACCTGATAAGACCTGATTCTTAACTAGTTAAAAATCCAAAAAACCTGGACGATTTGATATTATGTTCCTGACATTAATTGCTTGCTATGGGCTATGTATGAGTCACGAGTGTATGTTCACATCGAACAATATAGTAAAATAGGAAGTAAAATGCAGCAATTTAACCATAAAAAGTGAACAGAATTACTTATATTTTGTGAAAAAGTGGAAACGTTTTTTTTATTTTTACTAGTTACGGTGACGTAATCATAACTATGTACGGTGACGGTCTGCGTGTACGTTGACGGTTTATATGTGTAACATGGTCGAGGATTAGTATCGTTTATGTTGCGCATGGGCTGCACACACACACACACACACACACACACACACACACACACCACACACACGCACACACACACGTACTCACACACACACACACATACGTACTCACACACATACACACGCGCACGCACACACAGTATTAAGCTGAAACACGTAGCGTGTGCGCGTGCGTGCACTGACACATCTTAGGATCGGCTCGTGACAGGTCTATATAGTGACTTTGCTGCTGCTACGTCGCTGTAGCGCTGCGGGCAGCCACGCGTTCCTCTATCTGTCCGTATACAGCAGACAGACAGCGACGCGCCGACGTCGTCCTTCCACATCAACGCATGCGAAGATAGTAAACGCATAAACCGGTTTTTTCGCTGCACTGTCTTACATGACACACATTCCCGGACGGCACTCCCCCCCCCCTCCGCGCTTCTCCACTCCCGCTTCTCCATTCCTGGACGGAGCGTGCTTGGCTTGTTGTTGTTTGTGATGAGCTCTTCTATAGCTTCTTGACGAGCACAGCTATCACCACGTCACAATGCTTGCTCTGCAGTCAAGGTGAACATGCATAGGCTAGTCTACAGCCGCGCGCTGCCCCCCAACCCCACCCTAGCAACGTGGAATAATTAGGAGAGTGATCTATACGCAGTCAATCCTCTGCTAGCTCTCACCTCTAAGGAGCGGCCACCTCTAAAGAGCGGCCGCCTTAAAGGCGACAAAAATCCGTAAATGCCACTTTTTTGACGATTCCTTTTGTTAGTGGGAGATATAGAAAGAAAGCAGTTCTACAGAACAGCCACCCTTCCGTAAACGCCCCTTTTGACGTTTCCTTTAGTTAGTGGGAGCTATATACCACTTTTGTCAGTCTTACAGAGAAGCTACCTTTAAAGAACGGCCATAAAGTTCACCTTTGGCGTTCCAATTAAGTGGCCGTCACACACCGGGTTAAGTGTATCGATACTGGTGCGGTATATGACCGATGGGTGATTTAGTGGCCTGATATATGACAATACCGACGTAAATCGTAACAACGTACGCAAGGTTTTCGCGGAAATTCAGCCGGATACACGATTCAGCACCTATTTTTTTACGTTGAACTCTTTTTTCGTCTTTTGAGTAACTCCCAACAGGCGAGACTGCTTTGGTTACGAACGACTTTCCGGATATATGCACCAAGGGGAGAGGTGGGGGAGAGAGAGAGAAAGAGGAAAAGAGGGAGAGAGAGAGTACGTTAGTCATCTACGCTTGCATTGAGGGCTGGAATGTCGGTCTGGCGTTCCTAACCAGAAAACGCGTCTGTGTATCTATCTCTTCATGCTCAAAACATCCATCTCATGCTGACACCTCTGCACTGGCTGCCAAGGCTGTAGACGCCCCCTCGTGGAAGCTTGCCAGGTGAAACTGGGGGCAGTGTAAGTTGCAAACTACTACGCATGCGCGATTGTCCCGGATGTTGTCAATTGTGGCTGCGAATTTCGTGTACAGCGAATCCGTCTAGGTGATGGCTGTGCGGTTAGAATGTAAGACTGCCGGTATTTGTGTCATATATGCAGGTCATGTGTGAAGTCAGTGCGTTACTGCATGTGATGTGGAGACATATCGTCGTGGGATTACCCAATTAAACGTCGCAATTCAAATACCTATATGAATAAATAATTCACTAAATAAATAAATAAATATATATATA